AACATAAACCAACATTTTCAGCATGCCATTGTTAACTAAACATAAACCAACATTTTCAACACCAAACTATACAAAACAACAATGTGAACATAACATAGACTGCTAACAAACCTAAACAAAACTCTATCAGACTACCCGGTACAAAGAGGGAAGAACTCTCGACTCCCCCCTAGCCTACCACCCTAATGCTCGACCTCCACATGTTCCTATCAAGAGCCATGTCTTCGGAAATCTGAAGCCGCGCCATATCCTGCCTGATCACCTCGCCCCAATACTTCTTAGGCCGCCCTCTGCCTCTTCTCGTACCTGCCAAAGACAACCGCTCACACCTCCTAACCGGTGCATCTAGGCTTCTCCTCCGCACATGTCCGAACCATCTAAGTCGCGCTTTCCGCATCTTGTCCGAACCGGTGCCCCTAAGTTGTTTTCTTTCATGTGGTGTAAAATACTTTTTAAGAGTTTAACACAACCAAAGTAACTAGAAAGTAAGATCAAATATTCCAGGAGAAAGACAAATGTCTTAAACATAGCTATAGTGTTTAACTTTATAGAGGTCGCTATGCGGTCGTTCTTTCCTTTGGATGGTCTTCTGAATCTGTTGGACTTCTGAATCTGTTGTAACCTGAGTACTGCACGAGTAGTGGCGCTTCCCAGAAAATAATAAACAAGTTAGTTGAGAATAGGGATGACACTTTTGAGTTACACATTGATCTATGTAAACATGAAAGAGGTAGATTGTTCACGAATTAATTAACCTCAAAATATATGAAAGAGGTACATTCTATCTATACAGAGCTTCGTGTCTGTATGTGCTGACTATGACTAAAACTTTTAAGATTCTGTGAATGATCCACATATTACTTGTTTCCTTCTGTTCACGTGTAACCATCAATTTTGATATTAGAATAGCCATCAATCATCTAGGACTATTTTATTTGCATACACTTGCAGTATCAACCAATTTAGTCCTTTTGTGAAAGAATGTATTCTTTCAATCCTTATTTTTACTCATAGATGAGGTGGTTATTCTTCATTCACTGCTTGTATTCACAGTTGAATGCGAGGAACAAGTCTGCAGCTAAAGAATGCTGGTTGAGGACTGCACTCTGCCTGGAAGGTAAGTTGGTTGAAATGCACAAACTTTTCTGCTATTGCCTTTGGATCTCCTGTCTACATAATCAAATGCTTGTCTTTTCAGCATGACAATATTAGCGGCGACTTCATAACTTAAGGCATTTGCTTCATAAAGTTTTGATTTTTTGGGTGCTTCCATGGGGCAAGAAGAAATGATTTGTACATATTATGGGTTTTTTCATCTTATGTCAGCAAACTGTTTTGGTGTTTGAACTTTGAACCAAGGCAACTATCGGGACTACTTTTGATCCTTAAGTTTTGTGGGTTTACTCGTCTGTTAGAGGACAAAGTTAATGTAGCACAATCTAGTGGATCAGGAACCTGAAATAAGAGTGGAAAATCTGGGCCTGTTCGTTAGTTGTTTAATTGCTGAAAAGATGCAGAGAATAATAGGTAATATTTCCTGTGAATTAAGTACAAAATTCTGTGTTACTATAATGCCCTTGACTCAAAAATATGATAATATAAACAAAGATTCGTCAGCAGATCAGCTTAACGTTAACACATAAATTTAGATAAAAAATCATTGTGACATCTTACATCTTATTTTTTTCCTCTTGCATTCTGCATCAAAACCCCATAAGAGATATGCAAAGCTTGGATGGTCTATCAGGCTTGATCACAGTGTACATGTAGCTTATGCGTGGGGGCAGGGGAGTGCTTTTGGATTCAACTCTGCAAGTCCACTTTCTTTTTTAAAGAGAGCTTTTATATATGTTAGCAGAGGTCAAAATCTTTGATAAAAGCTTTCCGATAATTTTTTTAATTCTCATTGCCTGCCCTGGGCTCTGGTAGAGATCTGAGTAGTAGTTTCCGGGCATCTTAATGATTCTCAGTGGCATAGCTCCAGACAAGGGCTTCTTCCCTTTATTATATGGGTAGCCGGATGCTTAGCAACAGAGTACCTGTACTTAAGTATGTCCGCGCTTGCACATAGTATACATTTGCCACTTAACCCACTATCAATTTTGGCACTCCTTTTGTGGCTAGAAAAATATGACTTGGATAGTCATACACTGGGTTTACCACTAAATCCACTAGTAATGACATGTTGATTAGAATCATATGGGATTTCTCTGAATGAGATTGGATGTAGCTCTTGTTAATGTTCTCTTCCTTTTTTTCTGTACTTGGAAGATTACTCCCCTTCTCATGCTTAGTGCTTCCATACTAATATGAGTTTTCTTACGTCTCTGACAATTCTGCTCAACACATAAAAATGCATCTTTAACTCGTATTGACATGTATTCAGCGAAGTGCCATACTCTTCTTTCTGTTTACCCTGTTGTTATTTGAGAACTCACCCTACTTAAAAGTCTTGCCATTTCATACTAATATGCAGCACTAATGGATGCAATACGAGAGGATGTCTCTGTGCTGACCATTCTTTCAGAAGTGCTGTGCCTTTTAGACATGATGGTGAATTCATTTGCTCACACGATATCAACGAAACCAGTTGGTAGATATACTAGACCTAATTTTACATGTGAGTGTTTTGTCACAACTCTCAGTACTTACTAGATGACAAGATTTGAATAAATTGATTGCTTAATTTTTTTCCCTCATAGGTGATGGCCCATTGGCAATTGATTCTGGACGGCACCCCATTCTGGAAAGCATAAACAATGATTTGATTGTACGTTAGTTTCTTCTAAAAATCTTAGTAAAAGTTCGAGATTTCTCTCCACATAGCAAGTTAATGACTTATCTACTTTGATACTGGAAATTTCTGAATATGGACGTGGTGTTGAATTCAATTTTTCAGCCAAATGGTATCTTTCTTTCTGAAGCATCAAATATGGCTATTGTAATGGGCCCAAACATGTAAGGAACCTTATTCCATAATAGCATCAAATTTCTTAATAAGTACTTTGAGACAGTTTTTACATTAACTTTTGGTTTTGCCATTTTTCTACCTGATAACTTCCATATATTGTTTTTTGTAGGAGTGGAAAAAGTACTTATCTTCAGCAAGTTTGTTTAACTGTCATCCTTGCTCAAATTGGTTGCTATATTCCTGCTCGGTTTGCCACTTTGAGAGTGGTCGATCGTATTTTTACAAGGATGGGAACAATGGACAGTCTCGAATCAAACTCTAGCACGGTATGATCCTCTACTTTTGAATGGTATATTGTTGTCTGGAAGTTCTATATTTTGGAAGACCAATTTTGTGCATATATTTATGCAATAGTTAGTTGAACTTCTGAAAAAGCTTAGCATTAGTTTTGATAAGTTTCTGGTGAAGTTTGACCTCTTCAAATTGCAAAGTTTGCTCTTTATATTTGAATCATCATCTCCTGGAGATAGCCGATATAGAAATCACCAGTATTTCGTGTAACTGTGGTTTGTGCAGTTCATGACAGAGATGAAGGAGACGGCTTTTATAATGCAAAATGTCTCTCCTAGGTAGATCGTTTCACAAACTGTTTCCACAAAATTGGCATGAAGGTTTGTCTGTGTGATTTGAACCTCCTTTGCTGTATACAGAAGTCTGATCGTAATGGATGAATTGGGGAGGGCGACTTCGTCCTCTGATGGATTTGCAGTCGCATGGAGCTGTTGTGAGCAGCTATTGGCACTTAAAGCGTAATCTCAAAGCTCTCTTTGTATTTCAATGTTAAAAGGCAATATGGTTAAGTAGCCCAAGCATGTATTTCATAACAAAACCTATAACTAGAAGATTAGCTAGGTATCTTAATCTTTCATTGTATGAACTGCAGCAAAGTTTGAAATTTAGGCTTCAATTTTGCACTTTATAAGTTGAAGGAATATGTTGGTACTTATAACTGCTAAAACTCCTGCTCTTACCTGGATACAATAAATGGTAGGAAGACTACCAATTCTGGAGCTCTTCTAAGAAGCAGGATTCAAATAAGGAACAAAAAATTTAGAAACCAATCAAGATTGTTGTAAACCTACAAAAGACTTCTGTAGTATACCAAGGGAACATCATACTTGAAATTTTTCTTCATTAGTTATTTGAGTGTGGGAGTTAAATAATAAATACTGCACTGGACCGTGAAACAGGAGTGGACGTCGTGTTGTCACTGCATTTTCTTGTAAGAAGTAAATGCCTTCAGCATTCATCTGAGGACACACATAAGATTGTTCACTGAGCCTCTTACGGAGTCACTAGTTTAAAGTTCCTTATAGAGAAGATATTATCCTAAACGATTTCTTCATTTGTTTTGTGGAGACTGTTAATAAAATTCTTCATCTTGTCACTTCCTAGATGTCATTATTTCTCAGAGTTAAATTTTAGACTTCATAGTTCTAGCAAATTGGCAGAGAACTGCTGGAGGTGTTTGAATGTATTTTATAGTTGCCATGTAATACATACAGCCAAGTTTCATATTCCAACCCATGTATATACCTCCATTTTCGTCTCTTTGGTCGTATAAGACCTTTTCATATAGTGAACCCAACTTGTTTGAGACTGCGGTGTAGTAGTGGTTGTAGCGCGCACTTAGATTTTTCTGTTTTTCCCTGGTAAGAGAAGTGAAGGGGTGGATTTCTTGTCCAGACTGTGATTCTTTTTAAGCTGTTTTCAGGTACTCAATATTTGCTACTCATATGGAAAATCTTTCAGAGCTAGCCACCATGTATCCGAATGTGAAAATTCTTCATTTTGATGTTGATGTGAGGAATAACCGCATGGACTTCAAGGTATATCTCTGAATCATTCAATGGTTTATAGCCAATTTATACCTGACTACTTATTTCTTCTTGTGTTCCCTTCTTAGTTTCTATTGAAGGATGGACTGCGTCACGTGCCACATTACGGCCTTATGTTAGCAGGGGTAGCTGGACTACCAAGTTCAGTAGTAGAAACTGCCAAAAGAATCACATCTAGGATTAAAGAGAAGGTAATTTGTTTTAACTTCAACAAGCAATGTCTTGTCTGAGAAATTGCCATTAGGTGTTCAAAATTTTTTATGGTTCTTCAAACAGGAAAGTAGAAAGCATAGTAACTATCTTGAAGCTTACAACAACAATATAATCCCACTAGTGGGGGGTCTGGGGAGAGTAGTGTGTACTCAAACCTTACCCCTTACCTTGTGTACGCAGACTTTACCCCTACTTGTATCACAATCTTACTTTCTTTATCCAATTTTGGGACCGACTATGCTTTGTAAAACTCACATACAAAGTGACTGTGATCCACAATGCATTTACGCTTCTTTACTACAGTTTGTGCTTCCAATTGCTAAGCTTTGAGAAATGTAGAATTGCACATCCATTTTGAGTTGATCGGATTGCCTTTTTTCGCCTTCGTATAGGAAATGAAGAGAATGGAGGTGAATTACAGACAGTATCAGGACATACAATTGACTTACCAAGTGGCTCAACGGCTGATGTGCTTGAAATTTTCTGATCAGGATGAAGATTCTTTGAGGGATGCTCTGCAGGACCTCAAAGAAAGCTACTTAAGTGGTAGGCATAAAGATAACTAGAATTTACTCCTCATATCTTTCTTCTAACATCAAGACTCTGATCTGTATATGCATCCGGATATCCTGGACTAAGAAAATACGTTCATCGAGATAACTACTTAAGAGAAAGCGGAATTCTGATTTTTTGTTGATTTCTAGTGATGAATTTGAGTTAACACAGAGTTGGTCTAGATCGTCTTGCAAGTAGAATTAATTCGACACATCAATTTGAGAATAAAGCTAATTGTTTTTTGGGTGAAGATGGGTTATAGTTCCGATGGACTTTTTACTAAGGGTACTGTTACAAGCAACTTAAGAATATGAAGTAAAGCCTGGTCAGTGGCGGATCTAGAATTTTCATCAAGGGGTGTCAAAATATAAATAATTAGATATATCGAAAAGTCAAGGGGAGTCAACCTATAGTAAATATACATAAAATTAAAAAATTTATCTAGAAAAATAGTGTAATTTTCCGACGAAGACGTGTCACTTGACACCCCTTGCTTCAATGTGGCTCCGCCACTGCGCCTGGTAATATTGATTGGTGAATGCTTTCTTTTTATAACGGCGGAGTTTGGACTATGTGTGCACCTTAATTATTCAACTAGACTAGATATATACTACCTTCTACCAGCACAAGTATTGATTAACTCTACTCACCTAAGTTTAGACAAATGGAAGAACATCACCTAGTATTTTTTTTAAATTCCTATTGGGATTTCAACATGGGATGTCATGGTTTACACCAACATCATTCACCACCATGCCGAATCCCTTGGGTGCTATCTGTTAACGTTAAATTCCCTCAAGGGAGCTTTGTCAATTGTTACCACAACTTGGGGGGAAAATACTTATCAGCCACACAAGTTAATATGGACTTCGACCTGAAATTATAAGCAATTTTGCATCTGCCCCCACCATAATAGGCACACAAATGGTTAACACATATTGCACTCTGTAAAGTATAAATAAGCTAGTTAAACTATATTATCCAATTCTAAATTCATACGATGAAAAAGAAAAAGGTGACTTTGTAAGTAATAAATCATTAGCAACAATCTATTCTCAGTTTTAACAAATATATATAAAAGTAATGAACCTTCTCCAGTAATCCATGGTATAATCAACAGACAGATTATCAGAAAAACCGTCCAGCTATGATTGGAAGTTTCAAATACATTATACAAGCGAGCACTTTCCATTGCTTTTACAGTTTTCTATACCAAACTATGCCACAATTGAGAGAAAGTCATAGCCCTGTTTACTGTTACTCTATATCTGTAATTAACATTCACATGCCTGTCAATCCCCCAAAAAAGACTAGAGTCGCAACGAACAATCTACAGAATTTTGTGAAAATGGAAAGTGAAAAGTTCAAATATCTGTCAAGATCAATGATGACACAACAACAACATAAGCTAGAAAGAAGAAAATTGCTATCTGAATGAAGAATTTGGGATTGTCCCTCATGTTTGGAGATGTTACCGCCCTGCAACAGTGAAACAGAAACATTGTCAATTTTCAACCAGAAGTGCAGCAATTTGGTTGATAGAAAGTAGCACAGTAATTTAACAAGTTCAAATGGTTTCATCGTCTAGGAGAAATACCTAGCAATGCGTTGTGAAAGCCGATGAAAAGGCATGCTTTGAATAAATACAATACCAGGCCCCGTTAGAACAGCTGTTACGATATTATCATTCTGCAATTGTACAAATATAGTTAGGAATATCTGCCTCAGGAACCAAATCATGAGATGACAACAGCAGACTCGAGTCAGATTAGTTCCGCAAAGCAGAAGGCTAAACATACATTTTCATAGAAAATCAAGAGTCACAAGTCAGATTACTTCAATCATTAGCGAGGAGCTCAGGTAATATTGAAGTAACCAGCTTAATTAAAGGTTGCAATATCAGACATGCTAATGGAAGGAAGTACCAGAAACTGGCTTAAGAAAAGCCCTGAAACCCTCAAGTTCGAACAGATTATGACCAGAATATCTTAATTTGGAAAAAAATCTACTCTATTTTTTCTTTGGTCTCACTTGGTCTTGTTGGTATAATCATTTCATTGTATCAATACATGTACTAGAAAGAGATAATATCAAATGGGAATCGATGAGTTTCATACTTTACATACTAACTGAAACACAAAAATAAACATTTTCAGAAGAAACTACACTTTTTTGTTTATTCTTTTCTTTCTTAGTTAACTTTTAAAGAAATGAAAGTAAAAGCCCCTCCTAGAAGAGAGCAACGAGGAGAGATCAGTCCTGCAGTAAAGAAAGCTCAGCTAAAATTAATACCAAGTAGAGTTTATGGGTTCAAATGTTGCTTTTGGTGGATGATAACTAGCCTTTTCAAATTCCTTTTAAGGGTGATAACAGTGATGTCTGGGACAGGTTGCACGCATCTTAACTAGTCTACGAGATACTTGCTACCTCTCACCAGCATAGGTGCCAAGTAGCTACGTCCACCAACTCCTAGACATATAGGAAGAGATCACCTAATTATTTTTTTTTACCTTTGCAGGGACTTAACCCTGATTTTCGACACTACTTCTCTTATGAACAACAAATACGTTTTTTTTAATCATTGAACAACAAGATGTTACGAGGAGGACAAAGAATGAAACAAGAAAACCCAAATGATTCCTGCCAGCAGAGGTATTTCTTAAATACATTAATTGATGAATATTATTCAGCAATAAACAGTTAGGATGAATGAAAGGAGAAATCAAACGAAGCAGACATGTGAAAACATACCCCAAATACCACCCTTCTCATGGCTCCATTGTATTTTATTTGAACATTGACAGTTGATGATACTGCAACAATGCTTGGCACATCAACAGCAAGTACTTCACCCACCTCGAGATTTTTCTGTACAACTGAGGAAGAAAAGCAAATATTGCCCGAAGAAATGAATCAGAAAATAGAACTTGTGATGTGAAAATTAAGACCTCTTAATCTTACAACTCAAATTAAAATGGTCCAGCAATTTTGTTTGGGTTTAAATGATAGGGTGCTGGTTCAGAGTTCAGACAAACGCATGTAAGACGGAAAAAAACTTAAATGAATAGCCACCATCTGTTCTAGGCATGTCATCTTTAATATTCTCCACAGAAGTCTAAGTTTATTAGTTAACTGAGATTCAAAATCATACCAGAACCACCTCCGACTACAAATGCAAGCCCTTGGCCTGATATCTTCTGCCTTAAGAATCCCTGGAAATGTTACAAGCATATTAGTCAAAGATTCAACCTGTTTGTAGCAATTACCGTCAGCAAGGCTGAAAATCATGCCCATATATAAAGTCAAGACAATTTTATCATCTCACCTCTGCATTAGCAACTAGGTTACGTGGCCTTTGGTCGATGGAATTACTGACTTTGACATCATTAATGGAGCAGAGAAATGCATCTGGCTACAAAATAATATTCTTGAAGTCATATGTCAAGGTAGAAGCATACTTAACTGGTAAACACTTAAAGCAAACAAGAGGGGGCTTACAAGGACGAGACCTATTTGCAAGAACTAAAAAGGATATCAAGATAAAGAATTATCTTTACCTGGCATAAGATTTCACCTCCAAACTTCGCTAAATCAATCTGTGTGGGAACAATAACAGAAGCAACAAACACCAATTTATTTAGTAAAAGTATATGTAAACAGAATCATCCGTACTAACAATGTGTAACTAAACTGTGGAGTCTCTCACAATTTTCTCCACCTAATACCTTACTAGATACCCCGGTGCAAGAAGAAATAAGACATCATACTTATTGGTGGTTAATTATCCTGCACTTGTATCCCCAATTTCCAGATTGTGCACATGCACAAGGGTCTACTCACTAAAGAAGATTGTATAACCAAACAAGATGAAAATATAGTTCGAACGTGAACGAACCGGAAGGATTCTTGCCAGAGAAGGAGCAGCTATTCCGACAAATCCATCAGTTGTACCTGTATTGTAAAGAACTATGCTTGTAATAGTCTTTCCAAAAAGCCATTGCCAAACGCCTGCTTCATTTTCAGTGGCATAAATATTTTCCATCTGGATGGAACCAGACATATAGCACATGGACCCTGCAAAGCATTCCAAAGTCCCCGTAAGTCAGTTAAGAGTGAGTAGTAAATAGCAAATGTCAAAATATAATTTGGCATTCTTGAATATTTGATTAAAGCATACAAAATATCCTTTGAGCGTGAATCTATGACCTGATAAGATACAATGCTATCCGTATACACAGGGCACTTAACATACAGCTGACAAAATAAGAATCCCTTGTTCATCAGGACCCTCCCTTCCCCCCCAACCCCCTCCAATCCAAGGCAGAGGAAAGAAAATGAAAAGCCAAAAAGAACAAAATAAAGGAAGAAAAAGGACCATTTATCTGTTTACTTTTATATATGCCCGATACACCTGGCGTATCGTTAAGCATTGAAGAGGAAACAGTAAATACAACAAGCATTAGTGGGGATGCCCTGATTACTATCATGAGTCGATGCAATCAAGATTATTGACTCAAATATACAGACAGTTTATCATTCTTCTAGGGTGGGTGATTCAAAACGACAATCTTCTAGAAGGCAAGCCTATTTCTAATGTCACACAGACTTGACCAAATATTTTTGTGTTAGGCTTCCGGGGCTCGTCTTACTTGCATAAGGTGTGGAAACATGCAAGGGAACGTTTTAAGTACTCCACGCATACTTATTCACCCTCGAGGAAATATCCACTCAACTAGTTGGTCAAGTTGTAGATTTTACAAATAGCTAACCGAACTGATTCCATTCTTTAATGTCTATCAAATGAAGAGATTTTACATTGTGTTTGGCATACAGCTAACTCAAACAAATAAGTGAGACTTCTTATGAGCAAATCATATACATAAACAAATAGATAAGCAAGAGGCTTCCTTTATAAAGAATATGATTAGTGACATACCAGGTTTTGAAATAATCCTTTCTTGTGGCTTCAACATAATCTGAAATGTAAATAGAGAAAGGGAAACAAATATAATTAGATCAACCATATGATTTTCCTCTTATAGAGAAGACAAACTACATGCTGACATTACCTGAACAATCTGAGCTTCACCGCCCAGAATTTGAAAAGGTGTTACTGCATCTTGCGGACTCTATACAGCAAAATATAATACAATGGTCAGGATAATAGATTTGCCAACACAGTGGAATGGCGAGATGCTACATTGTTTTATTTAATTCGAACGAAGTTACTACATTGTCGTCCAAGCTGAAGAGTTAATAACTTCACTCCCTAAAGATGATCAGAACCCAATTATGAATGTAACGATTGTCAAAAGGATCTCACAACATTAACTAAGGACAGTTGGTAAAGTCCAGAACACAACTACCGTTGCAAATAAAAGACACCCTTGATAATATCAACGAATCAATCATTAAGCGACAATAGCAAATCCTCTATATCTGTTCTATTCGGACTTATTTCACTCTAACTCTATACCTTTAAACATACCGTGAAAAAGAACAGTTGTGCCACAAACTCCCAAACACTCATCAAACTAAATTACTATAGATGCAAAATTAATTGCACCATATAAAGAAAAAAGCACTTCAACAAATAATTATACTCCCCTAAAAATCATCAAATTCATAACTTCTCCTCGTAATGTGATTCGCGAAGCAGTAAAGTTTCCTTCTTTTTACACTTTTCCGAACTAAATTACTATATATACAAAATTAATTGCATCAAATAAAGAAAAGAGCACTTCAACAAATAATAGTATTCCCTTTAAAAATCCTCAGAACACCAAATTCATAACTTCTTCCATAATGTGATTTACCAAACTGTAAAATTCAGTTCTTTTAACCCTTTTCCCAACTAAAAAGCAAATATTGTTATTGTCAATTATTGATTCTTTCACCAGCACCAGCACCC